GACGAGCACTGAGTGTTGCTCATTGATACGCTCACTAGTGTGTGTGTGTTGCTCATTGATGTTGAAAGCTCATGGTCCGATTTTGGGACCAACATGCTTTAGAACAGGGTTTTCATGTGTTTTTTGTCCATACCTAGTCACCAAAATACTACATCAACGGGCTGGTGTGCTGATTGCTTGCCGCACCTGAAGAGTTCCAGGGCGTCGAAACTGGGAAGCACAGCGGCTCGGATTGAAACTGTCAGATTGTTTTGATCCAGGTCTTCGAGGAAAAGGTTGCAGCCGGTGAAATTGGCCAAAACTTGATCCAGGAAGCTGAGCAGCGAGGCTGGATCACGTTTGGCTCGCACAGTTTGTGTTCCTGCAAAGTGCAACGCTTTCGAGGCATGAACGGGATGGACCGGGTGCGGAAAGTGGTCTACGAGTTCAACTTTGCCGGACTTGGTGGAGATGGCCCTGGAGGCCGGAGACCAAGTCCGCAAAATGGGCTGGACCGGGTTTGTGACATCAAAGGCAATTGTGCTCATGCCTCTTGGCACAAACCATACTTTTCCAGAGGTTTCTGGATTCACGACTTTTTGGGCAGACCACTTAGACTTAGACTTCAGCTTCAAGATTGAACACAGTGTTTCTTGACATCAGTTGCTGAATGTTCAGAATTGATTGACTCAAGGAGTTGGGAAACATATCGTTTTGCTTGATCTCCCTGTACCTTGAAAGGTGGCCTTGCGACCATGAAGATGCTGAGGCAGGTCCAGACTGGTTGATGGAACGACAGTCAGCTTCCAAAGTCTGAAGAAAGCATGCTGACATTGTAGATTATCTTTAACAGAGCAGTGATTTGCTTCAATACAGGAATCAGCCCAGCAAATATTTGTACCTATATAACTCATATCTATCATTCATACAGTAAACATGTATAGAGAGGCTTTTTGCTCTCCGGAGAGCAAAACAGAACCAAAGGAGATGTTACTCCATACGCAGCAAAAAAGTGGCACAAGGTTTGAAATTCCACGTTCTGCGAAGGCAGAACTATGCTTATGTGGCCTTTACCGTGCTGGGAGGCAGATCCAAAGAGCGCCCGAAAAGATGGTGCCTCTTTTCAAAAAGAATCCAGAGGCCTTTATTATGGAGGCGCATGGAATTTTATGCTTTGTTTGAGCTGGCTCGCAAGAGACAATTGTGATCATGGTCACCAAAATCAACCTCGCCTGGAATGAGGTGATCAGGACTCAGGGAGGTGGTGGTGCAGGAGTTGGCCCTTGGGTCGTTCAAAAGACAAGGTGCCTTGGGCAGAAGGTTTTGGACATTCTGATTGAGTCCTGGTTTTCGCAGCAACAAGCTGAGGAATCATACTTTGGGCACTGGAAAGGTCCTCACAGAGTATGCTGGAAACTTGCCCTGACAGTCTGAGTGGATCTCCATGGGGCGAGAGGAGAGTGCACCCCTCGGACCGGCGCTTTTTCTCAGACTTGCCCTTTGCAAGGAAACTATGCCAACACCATTGCCTTGCACGCAAATTTCGATCCTTCAGTATTTGGAGGGCCTGACAGAGACCAAGAGTACGTTTCCTAAAATAAATTTCAGTCCAACTTGTTTTTGCTCTCAGTAATCAATGCGCATGCGTACATTGACAATCCAATCCTTTGAGGCTATGAAGTTTAGTCCTGGACGTGAGAACGCCGACCGAATGTTGAACTTCGTTGCTGAGCTGCGGGAGATTCGAAAATGTCACTCGTCAAACAGAAATCAAAGCATTCCGAAGCTAAGAAAGGCGATCCGATGCCATCGCTGGACTCTCTTTTTGTCACGCTATGGGTCTTTTTCACTTGTAGAGAGAAAGAGAGAGAGAGAGAGAGAGCGAGCGAGATATAGAGAGAGAGAGGGAGAGGGAGGGATGGAGGGAGGGAGGGAGGGAGGGAGAGGGAGAGAGGGAGGGGCAGAGAGAACCCCATGCAGCTGCTGACATACACGGTAGTTTTCTTGACCTTGTCAAAGATTTGAGGCTTGCCCAGGAAGAGTTCAGATTTCTGTCAGTCTATGAGGTCCAAATGTGACGGGCTGTGAGGCAGCACCTCGCTTCTGCCTGGGGACCTTCATTCTGAACCTTCGTCGCAATGAGAAATTGCAATCAGCTTTAAGACTTGAAGACAAAGGCCAAGCTTCGACAGCCATGATGTTGTTTATTACAAGGCATCAATCCAAGTAATATTAATCAAAGTGGATAACATTGTTGCATTTTCCACCTCCAGCTCTTGCCAATCCTGCGGCCACAGGCCTCGGATCATGAAGCAGATTGGCCTGTTCTACATCGAGGGCCTGGAAAACGCGGCAACTTTTACATCTCGGGAGACTCGGGAAGAGATGTGATCCCCGCTTTGAAACCTGCTAATGCCAGATGTTTAGTAGACAGCTTCTCACCTTTTCCTCAGCGCGCTTACACCGCCACACCGCGCGGTGTGAGAAGCTTGTTATTTCCATCGGTTCCGAATGGCCAGTGGACACCCGTGTCTCTTGTGGCCAGTGCTGTCCCAACGCAAGAGACACCAGTCAAGAGACACCAAAAACCGCACAGGAGAGATATGCAATGCAGATGCGATTTTTCTACAAGCGGTCCGAACCAGTTTGAAGTTGCGGTCCGAACAACCGATCTTTCGTTTCATTGCGCTTTGGAATTTGACTCATGACCTGTAGATCTTCCCCTCAGCGATGGAAACCAGTCTTTGCAAACCTGGAGTCCTGGACTAGAGTGTTTTTGTTTGCTCGAGTGATTGCGACAAACTTGAGAGTGATTGCGACGAGTTTGAGCTCTCAAGCTGAACTTTAATTGAAGCAACTCGCTTTGGCCAAAATCAACCCGCATCAATCCAAGAGCTTGTAACTAGCCCTGGTCCTTTTACATTGACATCGGTGCCAGCAAAACTTTTCATCAAATGCAGAGAAGTGTTGGACAAACACTGGACAAGTTGCGACCCTTTTCCCTACATTGTGGCAAGGGGGGCCTTGTGTCTTGAGCTTGGTTGGATTTTGCATGATGTTGCATGGTTCTTTCGTGAGATGCTGTTTGGCCGCTTGCTCTAGACTCTCGATTCGCAATGGCTTGCCAGCGCTTGCCGGTGGTGATCGTGCCTGGCTTTTGCTCCACGCGCTTGGAGGCCGCAGCGTGCGAAAGCGAACAGGTTTTGGAGACACATGTTCATCATACTGCGAAGCAACGAGCAGGGTGTCCAATCAATACTCTGTCTGTTGTCAGAAATGGGCAAAGCAGTCGAGTTTTTCTTTTTATAACATGCCCTGACTTGGTTTGTCAGCATCACAGAGTCAGAAGAGCAGGTTGAAAGCAGCGAAGTGTGCCCCTCGTGGAAGGGGCAAAAGGTATGGTTGGGGCTCACGAACATAGGCTTTTCCGCCATGCCACTTGGACACTTTGAATGTGTGCTGGAAGTTTCCTGCATTGTAGAGTGCCGAAGATGACGGTGCGTGTGGTGTGGGCTGTCTAAGGCATGGCAAGGGCACTTGGGATGATTCAAATGCACGGTCTTTGAAAAACCAATGGCTCCAACACCTTGTCCTCGCGGGCCCAGAGAGGGAAACGCCTGGAATCAGGCTCCAAGCTGTCGATGGCTTGGCAGGTGTAAAGTCATTGGATCCCGACAGCTTCATGGGTTTAGCAGCTGAAGCAAGTGCCTCGGCACATGCTGTGAGAGCAATACTGTGGTTGAGCGGTACCGTCAAACCCTCCCCTGCGAGTGCAAAAAAAATCCGTCCAGTTCAATTGAGGTTACGTCTTCTCACCGGTCATCAAGGTATTGGAAGATCTGGGTTACAGGGAAGGGATTGACTTGCTGGCCGCAAGCTACGACTGGCGCTTTGCTCCGTCTGCACTCCAGAAGCGGGATGGGTACTACAGCCGGCTCATTCAGAATATTGAGATTTTGGACAGGAAAAACACAGGGGTTGTTTTGCTTGCACATTCCATGGGAAACAAAGTGGTGACTTATTTTCTGGAATTTGCCAAGAAGGAGAGAGGCCAAGCTTGGATAGATAGACATATCAACCTCTGGATTGCTGCTGGCGCACCTCATTCGGGAGCTCCTCAAGCCTTGCGCTCCACTCTTTTTGGCGACAAGTTCGGACTGGATCACTTTGTCACTGACTCTGAGGCTGGCTTTGTCCAAGCGCTTGTCTTTCAGGTACACAAAAGCATATAATGTACTCGTGTGGGTCCATGGACATGAACCTCAAATTAAGACCTTTTTCACTATGTAGCCCTTTCGAAATCAATGACAAGGCGCTTTCGCCTACGCATGGGCTATGAGCCCAAAGACTGTAGTAAAGTCCACCCAGTAAGAGAAACTGGTTGTTGGAACAAACATCCCTGTCGAAGTGACCCCGCCACCTGAAGATGAAGGTGATGATGAGAAGGATGTAAAAAAGGTATCGGAACTCAAAGTGCAGACGCGGAACGAGCCTGGTGAAGAAATCAACGCAGCCGGAGATTCGAGTTGTGAGGGGTGTTGATGGCATCGCCAAGTTGGAGACCGTGTGTCCGAAGGAGGTTCCCAGTGAGACCGCCAAGAAGGAACCTGTGAAGAGAGTGCGGGAGAACATTTATCCTGGTGTTTGCTTGCTTGCTTGTAATGTAATGTAATGTAATGTAATGTAATATAATGTAATGTAATGTAATGTAATATAATGTATGTATACTTGCAAGTCGTCAGTGTTGAACACTTGCAAGTGACAATTGAAGTTTCTCTTGAGTGAGGGTACAAGAAGTGGAAGTCGCCTAGAATCTACAAAGCATACAAAACTACTTCGCGGTACGGATGAGTGAAGCCGACACATGACTAGAGTCCCATCGGCCCCAAAGATTTGGACAGGCAATGGCTTTTGCCCGATCTTTGAGTGCCTCTCCATGGCTCTTCCCGCTAGGCCTGGACAAGACATTCTGTGGACATGATGGTAGATAAGCTGGTTGGTGCACTTTTAATTGGAATTGGCACAGTGAACCGGAGGTACAAGAGGCAACATGTCTAACAATTTTCATCCTTTTCTGGTGGCTGATTCGGATCCAAACTTGGCCGCTTGAAAACTTTAGTTTCCGGCAAGCACCGGAATTTAGATTTCTTTCACAGAAATACCCCACAAATACCCCACAAAAAACGCGGATGCACTTTGCCGAAAACCAAACATGTGTATATATATATATACACATATATATATATATTTATATTTATGAGGCTTACGATTACGCCTGACAGCCGGGCGCCGGCCTATTTGGGTTTGGGTATGTGCAGGGCTGGGTCCTCTCTCTCTCTCTCTCTGTCTCTCTCCCTCTCTCTCTCTCTCTTTGAGACTTGGTGGGGCCTATATTTAGCAAAGTCAAGCTATCTGGTGCGCATCTTGGCCCTAGGTTGGGCCAAGTTGAGTCCATGTGGTCTATGTTGGGCACATCTTGGGCCATGTTGGGCCTAGGTCGGCCTACGTTAGGCCTATGTTGGCCTAGGTTGGGCCTATGTTGGCGTATGTTGGCCCCATGTTGGCCTATGTTGGCCCTATGAAGCCATCTTGGAGGCTATGTTGGGCATATGTTGGGGATATGTTGGCTATCTTGGGCCTATGTTGGGAATATGTTAAGCAATATATGTGCCCAACACCAACGAAATGTCGATTAAGCCTGTCCGCGCGGCACGCATAACCGACACCACCGGCGCCCTGTTAGGCGAAAGTCGTGGATGCCGAAGGCTACGAAACACTGTAAAGCACGATGTTTTTGAACATCCTACGCAAGATACACTTCACATACATATAAATCTGTCGACACGCTACGGGCGGGGGTCGAGCGGGGGTCGACCGGATTCTCCCCGCGGTCCAACAAAAGGGTCGGCGGCAGGGGGCGCGAGCGTATATAACCTTCGGTTACCAACCGAAGGCCTCCGGCAAGGGAACGTGCGCGTGGCCGGCGCCCGGATTTATGAGGCTTACGCCTGACAGCCGGGCGCCGGCCTATTTGGGTTTGGGTATGTGCAGGGCTGGGTCCTGTCTCTCTCGCTGTCTCTCTGTCTCTGTCCCTCTCTCCCTCCCTCCCTCCCTCTCTCTCTCTCTCTCTCTTTGAGACTTGGTGGGGCCTATATTGAGCAAAGTCAAGCTATCTGGTGCGCATCTTGGCCCTAGGTTGGGCCAAGTTGAGCCCATGTGGTCTATGTTGGGCACATCTTGGGCCCAAGTTGACCCTATGTCGGCCCTATGTTGGCGTATGTTGGCCCATGTTGGCCCTATGTTGAGCCATCTTGGAGGCTATGTTGGGCATATGTTGGGGATATGTTGGCTATGTTGGGGAGATTTTAGGCAATTTATGTTCAAAAATATCTTCCGATACAACTTTTTACGATTTTTCCTTCCCGCAAAGCAAAAACCATGGAAAAACCTACGTTTTTTAACATCTCCAAGATGAAATTCTCGGCCGCCGGGGGGCCCAAAACCCTGCAAAACACAGTGTTTTGTGTACCTCACACACACACACGAAACACTGTAAATTACATATAACCTGAGGTCGACACGGGGTATACGCGCGGTCCAACAAAAGGGTCGGCGGCAGGGGGCGCGAGCGTATATAACCTTCGGTTACCAACCGAAGGCCTCCGGCAAGGACACGGGCGCGTGGCCGGCGCCCGGATTTAAAGGCTTACGCCTAACAGCCGGGCGCAGGCCCACTTGGGTCTGTGGGGCGTATGTCACGCCCATGTTGGCCTTGGTGGGGCCTATATTGAGCAAAGTTAAGCTATCTGGTGCGCATCTTGGCCCTAGGTTGGGCCAAGTGGGGCCCATGTGGTGTATGTTGGGCACATCTTGGGCCCATGTTGAGCCTATGTTGGGCCTATGTTGGCCTACGTTAGGCCTATGTTGGCCTATGTTGGCCTAGGTTGGGCCTACGTTGGGCCTATGTTGGCGTGTGTTGGGCCCATGTTGGCCTATGTTGGCCCTATGTTGAGCCATCTTGGAGGCTATGTTGGGCATATGTTGGGGATATGTCAGGTATCTTGGGCCTATGTTGGGGACATGTGAGGCAATTTATGTTGAAAAAACCTTCCGATACAACTTTTTACGAACTTTTCCTTCCCGCAAAGCAAAAACACTGAAAAAACCTACGTTTTTTGACATCGCCTAGCTGAAATTCTCGTCCGCCGAGGGCGCCAAAACCCTGTAAAACACGAGGTTTTTGAACATCGCACGCAAGAAACACTGTAAATTACAGTGACTTCAGTGACCCGGTAGTGACGAGGGGGTCCGCCCGTTTTGGTGACGAGGGTCGGCGGCAGGGGGGCCGACCGTCTATAACCTTCGGTTACCACCGAAGGCCCTGGCACGGGCTTCGTGGCCGGCGCCCGGATTTATGAGGCTTACGCCTGACAGCCGGGCGCCGGCCTGTCTCTCTCCCTCTCTTCTCTCTCTGTGAGACTTAGTCGGGCCTATATTGAGCAAAGTTAAGCTATCTGGTGCGCATCTTGGCCCTAGGTTGGGCCAAGTGGAGCCCATGTGGTCTATGTTGGGCACATTTTGGGCCCAAGTTGACCCTATGTTGGGCCTAGGTCGGCCTATGTTAGGCCTATGTTGGCCTGTGTTGGCCTAGGTTGGGCCTATGTTGGGCCTATGTTGGCGTATGTTGTCCCCATGTTGGCCTATGTTGGCCCTATGTTGACCCATCTTGAAGGCTATGTTGGGCATATGTTGGGGATATGTTGGCTATCTTGGGCCCACATCATGCGCAATCATGCTGGTAGATAAAATATAAATGACATAAAAATCTGTCGACCGGATTTAACCTGAGGTCGACCGGGGGTATACCGGAGGTCCAACAAAAGGGTCGGCGGCAGGGGCGGCGAGCGTACATAACCTTCGGTTACCAACCGAAGGCCTACGGCAAGGGAACGTGCGCGTGGCCGGCGCCCGGATTGTAAGGGCTCCGCCCCCTGCCGCCGACCCTGGGGATAAGGCACGAGATCGCCAACGGTGGCAAATTTATGCAGCTAGTAGCATACAACAGTGCAGACGCACACGACATCGGTCACGGTGGCAAATTTAGAGGAATGGAGGTAGCAGCTATTAGCATACAACAGTGCAGACGCACACGACAGCGGTCACGGTGGCAAATTTATAGGAATGGAGGTAGCAGCTATTAGCATACAACAGTGCAGACGCACGCACAGAACAGTGCAGACGCACACGACATCGGTCACGGTGGCAAAATTATAGGAATGGAGGTAGCAGCAATGAGCATACAACAGTGCAGACGCGCACGACAGCGATCACGGTGGCAAATTTATAGGAATGGAGGTAGCAGCTATTGGCATACAACAGTGCAGACGCACACGACAGCGATCACGGTGGCAAATTTATAGGAATGGAGGTACCGCTATAGGATCCACAGCTGTACAAGGGACAGCTGTCGCTAAAAACGAGAGCTGACCATTTAAACAGCTTTCGTTGGCAATATAGCAGCTTTCGTTGTTTTCGGCAAACATATGCAGCATGGCTATATGGACGACACGATAGCTGCTGCTATCGCTGCTACGAGAAGAAAAATATACAATGCAAAAAGTGTGTGCAGTGTATAATATAAGTCACGTGGGCAAGTGGTTTTCTTGTTTTTGTGTTCGCCACGATAGCTGCAGCTGTCGGTCAGCTATCCAAACCCAATTTTTTTAGATTGAGCATTGTAAACTCGCACCTGTTGTTTTCAAACCTGTGTTAACCTGTGTTGCGTTCACCACGAGAGCTGCAGCTGTCGATCTGGTGACAAACCAACATTTTTAAAAGGATACCGTTTTATATATGCTTTCAAGTCTGGTGTTCATGTCACCACGATAGCTTCAGCTGTCGGTCACCTATCGTCTTCGACCCTGCAGCCACGCTTCAAGCCGCCTGCTGTCACGGAAACGCCTCGGAAGCCTCGAAAAAGCCGTTCTCTCACCTCATACGGGTCCTCTGGCTGGTACACAATAAGCCGTTCTCTCACCTCCCACGGGTCTGGCTGGTACACAAGAAGCCGTTCTCTCACCTCCCACGGGTCCTCTGGCTGGTAGACACCTGTTCCGAGTGATTTCCTTTGCCACGCTTTTCCACCATCCAATTCGAAACCAAAAATCGCCCTAAAGAGGGCCTCCCCGTACGGTGCCAGAATGT